AGAGCTGTCAAAGAAAGTGCCCTTATTTTAGAGCAAATTTTGTATCATGTGCACTTATTTTTGGTAAGTATTAAGAACATTACTTACTTACTTACTTACTTACTCCGTGGCGTTACAACCCTTCGTGGGTTTTAGCCGACTCGACAACATGCCTCCACTGTTTTCTGTCTTGAACAACCTCCATCCAATTCTCCACGCCCATAGTGCTTAGGTCTCCTGCTATATTATCTCGCCACCGGAGACGAGGGCGTCCGCGTGGTCTCCTTCCAGTTGGGACTTCCTCCCACACCAGTCTTACTGTTCGTTCGTCAGAATGTCTTCTGAGGTGTCCTGCCCATTGGAGTCTTCTGGACTTTATTTCTTTTATGATGTTGGCGTCTGGGTAAAGTTTTTCAAGCTCTTTATTAGTTCTTATCCTATATTGTCCTGATGCTTCATCAAGCACCGGACCAAAGATCTTCCTTAGATTTTTCTTTCCCAAATTAAGAACATTGCTTAAAGTTTACGTTAAATAAATAAATTCTTTCAATTAAGTATTTGAAATTTACTGGAAAAAGCACAACTCTGGTCTTGCCCGCAAATATTAGTGCACGGGCTAAGTTCGGAGCATGTGGTGGGGTAAGAACGGAGTTGTGCTTTTTCCAGTCAATTTCAAACCTTTTTTTTGTACTTTTTATGGCTTCTTGCTCAAATTGTTTATTTTTAATTTTTTAGATCCAAAACGGTTTAAAATTATCTTTGAAATAATATAATAAAAGAAAAACGAACCGAAGAGGGTATTCAGCAAAAAAATTGAAGTATTGATAGAAATTAAGGCAGGACGCATAAATGCCTACAGGGCAAACAAAAAATACAAGACACCGTTTAACACAATAATGTATCGAGTAAAAGGTAAATATTTCAGCTTAACGCGTTTAATTATATTGATTATTTCTGTATTTGCTTATTACCTGAATATTTTTATTTCTGCTAATAGCTTTTCAGATAAATTATAATATCCTTCTGTATATCTACAGATTAAAACAATTCTGGTATAAAAACGAAAATAACAACATACAAAATCGTTGGTACAAAATATGGACCATCTCCAAATTGGATTAAAACCTTTTACTCGTCTTGAACAAAGGATTCTGGATTGGTTGCATTTGTGAAAATTGGATATGGATAGCAGATACAACAGTAAACTATATAACTCTCTTACGAAAATACTAAAACTGAGATAAGATGAAACTGAAATGAGCAGGATATTGCAATACACATTGCAGGACATTTAAAGGTGCTACCACGGCCCTCACAGATGAATACGTATGTCAAAACCTGGAGAAAAGAAGCTAGACTTAAACTTAAATGGAAGAATAAGACCGAATAGCGAGCTAGGAGTCGAAAAGTCTTCTCTTTCTTTTAAAATGAGTTCTGCAACCGAAGGGGAAAGTGACTCACTCAATCACGAACAATGATTCTTAATTCTTTTAATGCTTAATTCAGGAAGAGTTTCCTGAAAAGTAACAGTTTAATCTACCACTAGAGAGCTAATCTCATGTTGCGTCAATTTCAGTTACTGAAGAAAGCTGCTAGGTCTAGGTGTTTAAGTTTATTCGAATGACACTAGAAGGAACTCACACATATCAGAAGAGACGAAGCCACTCAGGAGATGCCAGCGAAGCTGCTGATAAGTTATAGACTCATGTATGCTGAGGAGATTTAAGTAGAAAAAATAAAGTAAACACTGCATCCTGGAGACAACAATTGTTCAATAGACCTATCCAGAAGGCCAAGACGAAACCTGTTTCCAAAGAACCCTAAAATCTTACTTTCAAAAAGATACATCCATCGAGGGGATATCCTGGTACGGGACCATGCCAAAGGAAACTTTGCGATAACATAGACTTGATCGTACACAATCTCGAGAAAAATGAGTGACTCTACATAAAACGACATCCATATGTACAACATAAGATCTGCGCTACCAGTTATATCAAACTCGTCCCAGGAAATAGAACATATCCTCCTTCTTTGCATGTTTGTTTTATTTATTCTTAATATATCTTCTATCATTATGTATCTTCGATGTCGTACAGTTACAGATCTCGTACGCAGTAGAAAAACTAGGTCTACCTCTGAGGAGGAAGCTTTTCTTAATCTTCCTTCTTTGCATGTTTGTTTTATTTATTCTTAATATATATTTTATCATTATGTATCTTCGATGTCGTACAGTACAGATCTCGTACGCAGTAGAAAAACTAGGTCTACCTCTGAGGAGGAAGCTTTTCTTAGAGCGACTGAGAAGGATAGCTAGACCAAAAATAACACAGCCAATATATAGCTCCCATTTCTCTTTAAGTGCCGTCTCCCAATCGAAGGTTGGATATCATCATCACTATCTTTACTTTATCTACTGCTGCTCTGAAGAGTTCTATAGAACTGCATTTAAACCAGTCCCTTAAATTATTTAACCATGACACTCTCCTCCTTCCTATACCTCTTTCTCCTCTTATATTACCCTGTATTATCAGCCTTAGTAGTTCATATCGCTGTCCCCTCATTATGTGTCCCAGATATTGTAACTTTCTTATTTTTATTGTGTTTATTATTTTGCATTCTTTGCCCATTTCTCGCAATACTTCCGTGTTAGTTTTCTTCTGTGTCCATGCTATTCTAAGCATCCTCCCTGTAACACCACATTTAAAAGAGACGGTAACTTATTTATGTGTTCTTGCTTCAATGTCCAGCTTTCAAGTCCATATTGCAGTATCGAAAACACGTAGCATCTCAGTGCTCTTACTCTCAGTTCTAATCTAAGGTCTTACCAGGGAAAAATTAAAAATTAAAAATTAAAAATCAGTATTGAACATGTATTGAAAATAAAATACCTTGGACTTACACTGTGTTTATATAGAGATCCGGAGAGAGAGAAGTGAGAGATCTAGTAAAAATTTACTTGCAGGATGTCAGCACGAAGTTTAACAAACACTTGAAAAGCTGAAGAATATAAAAGATACAGGTAAAGATGTACAAAACAACGAACATAATTAATTAACAAAATTATAAAACACAACAATATACTTGCAAAATGAATTAAAAACTAATCCTACTACTCAAAGAAGACTAAGAAGCAAAAACTAACTTCAACATGATAACTAGCCATTAAGGGAAATATAACCATTAAAAGAAAGTGTGATGATAACTAGGATTTTAAATTATTCATATTGGAATAAAATATAAGACGGATTTATTTAACATTTTTTACTAATAAGTATACAACTTTATTTTCATTAAAATACACTTACATATATACCATACATAATATAAATAACTGACAAAATTATAACAATTACAAATTTAATAAGAGCAGAAATCATTATACACTACTATATACAGGAAATTAATATTATAGTAAAATCCAATAGTTGGTATTTTGCATGGCTTTAGTAATTTAATCATTTTAAAAGTGGTATCACAACTATAATAGAGCTCATACATCTAAGGTCAAATTTGGGAAACTTAGTTGTACAATAAATTGCTGTGCAAAATTAGAATCATTGTTGTTAGCCTAATCCCCAATTTGTACAAAATTTGGACATTTTTTGGGACAATATCATTATCTGTATCAACGTAGTTATTTCGGTTGAGCTCTCGAAATCAGAAGAATTATCCTTAAATAATTGTCGATTGGTTTTCTTAATTATCTTATGTTTTTTTGCTTCTTTAGTTTTTCGTTCATCTTATTTATTTTCTTCTTTTTTTGTCTTTTGTAATTCTTTATCACGTTTTTTCTGTTCTTTTTTAAGTTTTCAAACTCTTTTTCTTCGTAAGCTTCTTTAACCGTAGTACTTGAACTAACAAATGATGAAATTTTTTTGTAGGACATGTATATTTTCGTTCTGCTCTATATAATGAGGAAAGTCCAGACGCTACTACTTTATTGCTTAGATAATTTTGGTCTCCTTTGTTGATCGTTAATGGTGGCTCTAAATCTCTTGAGATACCTGTTGAGATTGATGGTTGTTCTAAATTCAATCTCTTTAAGACTTCTTTTTCTGGTTATATGTTTGTATTTGCTGTATTGATTTCTAGTATTGGTATAGCAATATCGCTATCTCTCTATGGTGGCAGCAGCTTCAAAATCATAATCTGAACATATCTGAGAATTAAATGATTTATTCCCTTGGCTTTAAATCATTTGATACAGTGGCATTTTTTAATGCCACTTGATTGACCACTAATTGACCAAATAGTTAAGTCATGTCATATGCGGTTGTTGTAGGCGGTTTTGAAGGGACCATATAAAGCCACATGAGTGGCTGCATACGGTGACTTGTTTTCACGGTATATATTAACTGCTTCTAATGTAATATGACTTGCATGGTTATCCATTAAAAGTAAAACGGGAGTTGCTTGTTAGGTCTCACATGCTGAATAAAATGCTTCAAATAACTTATAATATTGTTGTAAGTCATTCAGCCACTATCATGTAACACCCAATAAATTCAGTAGGTGTGGTTATTCCTGGCGCCTAAAAGAAGACAAACCATCCATTGCAATATTCAACAAACACAGTACACCGTTTCCGACGATGACACTTCTACCAACGCTTTCCTTCTTAAAATAATAAATTAAGCATAAATGGATGAGAAAGTAATAAATATACAAGGCAAATATGAAAAATCGAAGAAATAGACAGATTTATAAGAGAAGAAAAGCTTAATGGAACCAACACGTAAATCTAAGAAAGGAAAACGATTCTTCAAAGCTCTAGATCTTTATCTTAAGCTAAATCACGTGAGTATTTAGTAAGATTTTAGATGATCAAAGATAAATTAGACATATTTTAAAGCTTGCAAGAAGGTTAAAAGCTGGTATTTAGCTCGTTCTTTGTATCTTGGACAATGAAAGAAAATATAAACGTAACGAAAGAAAATATAACAGTTACTACAGTAATGATGTATATTTGATATTTATTGGTCTTAAATTACATGACCAACATAAAAAGTAGTACGTATCAATACACTTACACTACACTTAAAACTATAATAACTTCTATAATTTTATTTTTTATGTTGTCTTGAAACCTCAACCTGGACCCACATTGACTCTTGTAGAAGCCCTGCACTGATCGCACTCGCAAATCCCCTGAACCAAAACTGGACTGGGTAGTATAGGCTGTGGAAGTTGATAATTAAATAGTGGCCAGAAAGGATATAAACTAAAAGTCTTATTAGGAATTAATGAGAAACTGCCAGAGTGGGGCACGACGTATGGTTTACTGGACTTCATTGCGTTGTTGACGGGCCGAAAAGCTGAGGTGGATTCCTCGTTTGGAGGTTGAGAATCCGTTGAGTCTTGGTTGTTGTTGATGTTGACGTGTTCTATTGCCTTTCGAAGGTCATGGTTGCATCTAAAAAAATAAAATAATTCTAGTAACAAGATATATTAGAAAAGTTGAACTATACTATTTTGTAGTGTAATGAATACATTTCCAAATACAAGGTGACAACTTGATAACTTTCCACGTTTATATTTCATCGTACATAATATAAAAAATCGGACAGGTAAATTTGGTTTTTAATGGCGAAACTTTTAGTGAATCTTTTTAGCCCAAAAGGTTCAACTTCTCGACTTTGCTTGAACTTTGCATGAAAATTTGTGGGTAATCACAATATACCCTTCACTTTAAAATCTACCCTATGCCAATATGTGCTAATTGTTTTTTAGGGTGAAAACTACCCCTTATTGTTTAAATTTATATAAACTAAAAATAAAACTTCTAAAAAATAATAATAATACATCATCATCCCTTCTGCGTCTAAAATTAAACACAGGCCTCCCCTAAAGATGGACAAAATATGCAGATCGTTTAAGTGGTCTATCTCTGCTTCTTCTGTCTGCTCATACTCTTCACACTAATTTTTGCAAATTATCTTCTTTATTTCTTTATTATCATCCTTCTTGTTTCTTTATTTCTAACCCTGTCTCTGAGAGTCAGTCCAAGTAGCAAGTGATAAATTCTTGTTTAGGCTACTCTTTGTTTGGTTGCTGTAGCCTGTGTTAAAGAAAGTGTTTCGGCTCCGTTAGGTCATGATTGGAAGCACACATTGTCGAACGTCTTCTATTTCAAATAATTAGGTATGTTGCTCTTGAAGATGTCTGATAGAGCTCCATATGTAGCCCATGCTAAAGTGATTCTTTTTTTACAGTTCAGCAGTTTGGTTGTTCCTGACAATTTATTCTTCTTCTTCTTTAGGTACCGTCTCCTCTAAGTAGGTTGGTAATCATCACAGCTATTTTCACTTTTTCGGGGAACTGCAATAACTTTCTTATCTTAATCTTATTCATGATTTTCATTTTTCTTTTTCATCTTTCTGGAGGAAATAAACAGTGGTTATTCGGTTCTAACCAACTTATTTTTAATATTTATCAGTAGGTCCACATCTCGAATGCTTCAAGTCGATCCGCTCACCTCTTTCTTTGAAGGTCCAGGCCTCCACCCCATACAGCAACACCGAAAACACATATGAACGTAATATTCTTATTTTGAGTTGCAAACTAAGGTCTCTACTGCATAATACTTTTCTCATCTTATTACATGTTGCTCTAGCTTGTCCAATTCTCATTTTTATTTCTTCTGTATACTCGTTATTTTCATTAATAATTGTACCAAGATATCTGTATTTTTTTACTATTTCTATTGGAATCCCTCTTATGTTTAAAATGTCTTGTAGTTTTGGAAATTGTCATAAATTTTGTTTTATTAGCATTAAGCGTTAAGTCCGCTGTCCTCATTAGCATTTACTTCTTCTTCTTCTTCTTCAGCCTGTGTTCGTCCACTGCTGGACATAGGCCTCTTCATTTGCTTCCATCGATTTCTACTTTTGGCAATTCTCATCCACTGCTTGCCCGCGACTTGTTTGATATCGTCTGTCCACCTCTTCTGCGGTCTGCCTACTCCTCGCCTGTTCTCTCTTGGTCTCCAGTTTGTTAATCTTTGTGTCCATTTTTCGGGATTATCTCGGGCAACGTGTCCGACCCATTGCCACTTGAGCCTTGCAATACGTTCTGAGACATCAGTAATTTTTGTTCTTTCACGAATGACGTTATTTCGAATCCTGTCTCTCAAACTAATCCCTAGCATGGCCCTCTCCATTGCTCTTTGGGTTGTACTGAGCTGCTCTAAGGTTTTTCTTGTGAAAGCCATGGTCTCCAGTCCATATGTAGTTTACAGGCAAGATACATTTGTCATAAACTCTACGTTGTAGACACATTGGTATATCTTTATTCTTCAAAATAAAGCTTAATTTGCCGAAAGCTCCCCAAGACAGTTGTATGCGTCTTTTTATTTCGGCTATTTGATTTTCTTTGCCGATTTTAATGGTATGTCCAAGATATATATAGTGGTCTACATTTTCAAGACTGACGTTGTCAATAACAAGATTAGTTTGTAAATTACTCATTATTTTTGTTTTCTGGAAGGTTCATTTTGAGACCTATTTTTATTTGACTGCTGGTTTAATTCCTTCAACATTTGCTCCAGTTCCTTGATATCTGTACTAAATAATACTATGTCATCCGCAAACCTCAAATGACTCAAACGTACACATCAATGTTTACACCTTTTTCCTCCAGTCAAGCTGTTTGAATACATTTTCCAATGCTAAGGTAAAAAGCTTTGGTGAAATAGTATCACCTTGTCTAATACCTTTATTAAGGCGCATTTTTTCAGTTTTTTCGTCTTCATTGATTTTGATGTGGAATGTGGCCTGTTCATAAATGTTTTTAATGAGTGTAGTGTACCGTGAGTCTATTCGAGCATCCTTCAGGGCTGACAAAAAGGACCAAGTCTCAATACTATCGAAAGCCTTGTGAAAGTCGATAAATGCCATATGTAAAGGTACATTATATTCTGTGGTTTTTTCTACTAGTGTTCTGATGGTTTGTAAGTGATCATTAGCGCCAAACCCTTTTCTAAATCCCGCCTTGTTCAACCGGTTGATATAAATCAAGTTTTTGTGTTATGCGGTTGGTTATTATTCTTGTTAACAATTTGTATAAGTGTGACAACAAACTAATAGGTCTGTAGTTTTCAATATTAGTAGTGTCTCCTTTCTTGTGTAAAAAGTATTATTTCGGCGTTTTCCCATAGGCTGGGTATTCTTTTTTCTGTTTAGACACTTATTCAGTAAGACTTCCACAACTTCTACAACGATGTTGCCGCCCATTTTAACATTTCAGACGTTATACGATCCTCGCCAGGGAGCTTTTTTGTTTTCATTTGCTGTAAGGCATGTCTAATTTCCGAAGAGGTTATTTTAGGGAGGGTTTCTGAGCCGACGTTTTAGAATTGTTCTGTGGTCTGGTTCGGGGGTTCTGTATAGTAGATGTATAAAGATTCTTTTAGTTAATGTAGTAAATGCTGCTGAATCTTTATACAGCATTTACTACATTAACTAAAAGTGTCTGTAGATCTTGTATATTCTCTGCAATTAGTCTAGTATCATCGGCCTATCTGATATTGTTGACGGGTCTGCCATTGACTTTTATTTCAATTGTCTCATTTTTGAGTAATTATTTGATTATTTCTCCCGAATATGGATTGAACAATAAGGTGGAGAGTAAGCAACATTGCCTTACGCCTCGTTTATCTCTACTTCCTTTGAAAGTTCGTTTGCTTCTCTAACTTTTGCTGTTTGGTTAAAGTAGAGATAAGTTATTATTCTTAAGTCTTTTTTTTTGACAATTTATTAGTATATTGATATTTACAATAAAATAGAAGCCAAAGAAACAAACTCACCGTGTAAGCACTAACTCCAGCACACTCCTTTTCTTGTTTGGAAACAACTGAGCCAACATGTCAATTGATGCTTGACTAACTTCTATATCATCTTGATTTGAAGAATCTGCAGAATTACTGGAATCATTCTTAGCAGCTGACGCTTCTGGTTCCGGTGAGGTAACCTGCATGCCAAAAATGCGCCCAGGAGGTAAATATTCGTAGGTAGTGCCACTTTCTTTTGCTGCTAGATGAAGCGCAATCGCATCTTCTGCTGCTTGTTGGCGTTTCAAGGCAACCTGAAATAATTAAAAATATCGAGTTAGAATTGATGAAGCTTTAGAAGTATAAAGCGAAACGTCTTCTATAAACTTATAAAGAGTATTGACTTCTGTTTTATATTTTGTCAACCTGAATGACCGATTCATCACTTTCAATCACTTTTAAATTTAACATTAAAATTATTCTGGCGTTTACACAAATGTTTCCAAACAGCTTGCATTTCCTTGTCTTTTGGAAAGCTATAAAATGCTGTACCGGGTACAAAACTCTTGCACATATTGTCAACGAAACAATGCGCGGTATCTTATCTGTTTGTATTTGTATCATGCTTATTATGTGAATAAGAATAATATTAAAAATATCGTAGGTAAATGTCAATGAAAGTGCAGCAAGGCATTATGCAGTGAAATACCCCAATCGAAATACACCCGATAGACGATTATTACTGACCAGTAATCATCGTTTACGGGAAACGGGTACATTCCAACCGGAAGTTGCTGGCAATAGTGGTCGTAAAATAATGGATGCAACTGATGAAGACATTTTAGAAATCATTGAAGAAGTCCTTGAAAGAAGTACAAGGGTAAGGGCTGCTCAACTAAATGTTCTTCTACGTAAGTGTTTGGAGGCGTTTGAAGGATCAGCTGCTTAAACCCGATCACTTAACAACGGTTCAAGAGTTATTGGTTGAGGATTATCTTAAAAGTATTGGATTTTGCGATTGGTTGTTAATGGAAAACACTCGAAATGTTAATTTTATTAGAAATATTTTGTTTACCGACGAGGCTACCTTACAAAGTCCAAAAGAATTTTAATAAAAACTATTAATAGAATAAGGTCAAACCATGCTCTAACATGTTCAAGAAACTACAAAATGAATCTATCAGACACTACTATGTAACTGTATCTGGTGAAAAATATGGAGATTTAACACACATCCTATTAGAATGTGAAATACAATAAGAAAGTATTGCATGTTTTTATGAAGACTTACGAAAAGTGTTTGCTTTAAGTTTCACTTAAATGAATTAATTTTCTCTGGAAACATAGAAATCTTTAATTATATTTTTAGGTTGATTAGAAAATGTAAATATAACCTTTAAACAAAATAGTGTACCAACCATATAATTAAGACGAAGCAATCTGCGAACTCTAATAAAATTGTAACTAAACATATGATAAGAAAAAAAATATAAAAAACAAATAAAAAAAACGGAAAAATAAATAAATACAAATCAAAATTAAAATGAGATTAGACAAAAAAAATACAAAAAAATCGATTCACTACTAACTCGATCTCTGATTCTAGATCTGTGAATACAAATTAAAAAAATAGTCTGGTCAAATGGCTATTCCAAGGCCATAAAAAGGAAAGAAAAAGAAGTCCAGACATAAATCAAAATACACAAAAAACTACGTTAAATAAAGTTAACCATTTTAAAAACTACGTCTAGTGTATAAGAATTTCAATATGAAAACATCGACAAATTTTCTGATTAATAAATATTTAAGGAAATATACGAAATCCCTAAGCTCGATCACATATCTAATAATACATTAAAGCTTCCGAATAAAAGCTTGTTTAGCTATGCAGCTCGCCACATCCAACTATCTAAAACTTATATCTCGTTAGCATTGATTCTTGTATTGCAGTTTCCCCGTTTGTTTACCGAATAGATACGCGATACCATTCTAATGGAATATCGATCAAACACTTCACGATGTCAAAAGATCCAATTACTGGAAATTTACTCAATCACTGAACATGCCGGTGGATATTGAGGCAAGACGGATCAATCGTAGAGATGTACATAATATATTAGCTTAATTTTAATAGGAATATAATTAAAATTAGTTTATAGGAGATCTTTATATACTGTGGAGTATCCCACACAGCCGTTTTCAATATTAAATAAGGTTCTTCTGGCCTTATATTAAATATAAATATTATATCCAAGTCAATTGTAGTTTAAATATTTTCTATTTAAAAACATCAACTATCCGTTGCTTTGAAGTGGACATGCAATATAGTATTGAAAGGGACGTCCGTTTCAATGCATTGATGTCTGACCGTTTCAAACTACTTGATGTGTTTCGCTCACTGTCTAACTAATGTATGTCACTAAGTATGTCAAAAATAAACGTATAGATTCCTTTTTATATGATTTCTATTTTGTTTTAGACAATGAGCTCAGTAAAGAGGAAGAGAGTTCGTCCCACAAGTGAAACCATTGACCTGGCGGTAAAAGAGGTCCTAGAAAGAAAGCAATCAATCAATTAGATCAACAGCGGCGGCTGCACATGGTATATTTCAAAGTCATATTTGGCAGAAAATTTGTAAAACTGCTAAGAAAAATAAAGGTAAATATCATCATCAGCCGGACATTGGTAATAAACGTATATTTTCTGTTTTGTAAGAAAACACGCTAGCTGACTATTTAAAAACGTGTTCCAAGATGTGCTATGGAATAACTACCGTACAAACTAGGAAGTTGGCTTTTCAGTACGCTAAAATAAATAATGTAGCACCTACTATTTGGAACCAACGTGAAAAGGCCACTAAGGATTGGTTATGTGGTTTTATAAAACGAAATTTTTAACTCTTTCTATCAGAAAGGCCCAGAATACTTCTTTATCACGAAATACATTTTACAATCATGAAAATGTAGCTAGGTTTTATGATAATTTATAAACGGTTTTAAAGAGATTTATTTTAAGCCACACATGATATGGAACATTGACGAAACTGGCTGCAGTACCGTAACAAATCCTCCTAAAGTCATAGCAGTGAAAGGAATAAAACAGGTTGGCCAAGTAACTTCGGCCGAAAGATGCAATTTAGTGACTATGGTAGGTTTTATGAATGCTTCTGGGGGTACTATTCCTCCAGGATTTGTGTTCCCAAGAGTTCATTATAAAGATTTTATGCTAGCAGATGGTCCAAAAGGTTCTTTAGGTTTAACTAATCCAAACGGTTGGATAACAGAAGAAGGATTTCTATTAGCAATTAAACATGTTATCAAGTATACCAGTCCATTCAAAGAGAATGCATGTCTTATTCTCATGGACAATCACAAAACACATGTAACTTGGGAGACAGTAATGTTAGCACGGCAAAATATTATCAATATTCTGACATTTCCATCACATTACAGCCATCGTCTACAACTAGCAGACGGTTCCGTCTTTGGTCCTTCTAAAACAAGATTTAGAATTTCTATGAACGCATGGATGTTGTCTAATCCTGACAAGACAGCCACAATATATGAAGTAGCGTCATTTGCTAATGAGGCCTTTATTCCTGCTTTTTCTATGTAAAATATAATAAAAGAATTTACTAAGATATTTACCCATGTAATAGAAATGTATTTTCAAATGATGATTTTTTACCATGTTTTGTTACGGATAGACCTAATCCATGCTCATACAATGAAATTGCTGATGCACAATCTTTATTGAAAATTAAATTAAAGTAGTGATCTTGACTTACCTTCTACTTTAAGAGATGTTCCATCTACTTTAAGAGATGTTTCATATGTATCTCCACAACAAATAAGATACAAATAGATATCCCAAGAGGATATCCCCGAAAATCAACGCTAGTAGGGCCCAGAAAAGGTAAAACTACAATTATCACAGACACCAACGAGAAGGATAGACTTATGGAGGAAAAAGAAGTAGCTGCTCGTAAAACACGGAAAATATCAAAAGTCACAAGAAAACGTATTTAAAGCTTATGTCAAGAATCAAGTTCTGATGACTCAAGTTCAAATATATCGTTACACGACTCAAGCGATGACGAAATTTCTCTTAAATTTAACAAAGCCAAAGATAAAAATATACCAAAAAAAATTAAAAAACAGTTCTTGAAAAAAACGTAGAACAAACAACAAGCGTTGAAGAGGACTTGCATCTTGATGAATTTGAGAAAGCAAAGAATACAAAGAAGGACACAAATAAAAATCAGACAAAATTCGCCAATTTTTATTATTATTGATAGGTTAAGGGTATTATTGATAGGTTACTTTTTTATTGCCAATTTATTTTTGAATTTGAAACCTCTCTGCAATAAATATAAGCCCATAAAGTAAAATGTCCGTTTCATTGCCACTCTCCCTTATATATTTCACAACATTAGTCTACCAGTTAACATCAGCAATCTGTCATCTTATTCGGAAAAATCTATATTGGATATTTTAATTTATTTTTTACTATTTATACACAAATCTAAGATAGGTGAAAACGAAAATCTATAAAGTAATAATGGTCATTGATAGTATGCCAGTTAATAAAATCTATTAGTTATATGAAGATGAATACTTACTTGAGCGGCCATAATCCTCTGCCTTTCTTTGATCAATCCACATTTCTGGCAGTTGCAGTTCTTGTAGATACATTGCTTTTTGTGGCCCCTTAGTGTCGAAATCATACCATGATTTCTACAACGGGCACATTTAGGAATTCTTCCAGGTTTCGGCATTGACGCCATCTACAAATATAACATATTGTTACGACAACCACTTTTTGAAGTACATTGCTTTTTTGCTGTTTTAAAGCATAAAAAGTTTAATTCTCGCAGAAATGTCGTCATATTCGACCAGGTATTAATAATATTGGTAATAACATATTGGAATATGATATCAAAGAAAAAAGAAAATTTTTAAGAAACTACGTAAGAACAGTAAGTACTCTATAAACTCACATTAATCAGTAATAGTAAGGTAAAAACTAGTACACAACATAGAGAATGTCATAAAATGAAACATAAAGTGTATTTTTATAAATTGTCACAATGGAGCTCTCCTCCAAAGCCCAGGACGATGACCATGACCGAATGCAGGGTAAGACCTCCTTAACTCCAGGAATCAGTTAGAATCTCAGATTTGATTAGCCTTCTTTTAGCATGCGGGGTTCTACTGAGAAAGATTAGGCGAAAAATCGACCAGTAACAAATAAAGCAAACGAGTCAGAGAAACAACGCAGTCTCAATTAAATTCCCAAACTAGAGAAGATTGTTGGTAGTTGAAATGGATTATTTGAGAAGAAAAACAGAAAAGGCAGACCAACGAAAGAGTGGAACAGTGGCATAGCAAAGATATTACAAAATAAGGTTTTACATAAAATTAAATAAGATATTACAAAATAACCTTCTTGGCAAGAAACAACACAATTGGCGAAAAACAGAAAAGAATGGAAACAATTTATCAAAAGCTAGAATCACCAATGATGATATTAACCAATGAAAAGCACTTATGGTGGAGTTCAATAACTCATAAAAGATTGAACATAATGCGTTATAGTTCACTGCTATGGTCATACAGAAGGATCTTAAAGATACCATGGACAGACAAAGTCGCCAATGAAGAAGTACTGCGGAGGATGAACACAACTGCGGATTTGGTCAACATCGTGAAGGGCCGTAAGCTGCACTACTTGGGACATAAAATGAGAAATCAAGCGATTACGCAATACGAGCTACTTCAATGCATTTTACAAGGTAAAATTAAAGGAAAAAGGACTCCAGGTCGAAGAAGAATATCCTGGCTTACTAACCTGAGAGCATAAAGACCTCAACACAGCTATTCTGTATAGTAATCAACCAAGTCATCATAGTCAGAATGATCGCCAACGTTCGGAACGGACAGGCATCCTAAGAAGAAGACTGTACTGCTCATGACATAAATATAGTACTTAATGATAAATAAGAGAGGTTACTGATATGCAAAATTTTTTTGGAAACGGTTCAACTTTATAATTGTTTTGGTCATAGTATTGTTACGATTTTAAATGTTATGGCATATAGAACTGTAAATATTTTATGACTAATTCTTTTTTATTGATTCTCGTAATTTGTAGGTCAAAATATACCTGAGCTTAGCTACCAGTTGTTTACCAGAAATCTCTAGACACTAATTTTAGTGAGTCATCCACGTCTCGAGGTTGAAAAACGAGTCGAGCGCCTTCACCAAAATACGAGACTATTCAGGAAGTCCGCCGAATTCTCTAGATGAAAACAGTTGTGTATAATAAATGAAAGATTTTTATTTGGCAGGCAGTCATAAGAAGATCGGTAAACGCGGTATTTAAATGTAACGAAACGTGAAATAAATACATTTGTAAAGTTATTTAATAAATTAGTAATTAGTTATCGTGAGTTTTAATAAATTAGAATATAGACAAATAAATTAGAATAAAGACAAATAAATTAGAACTATATAAACCTCACAGTGGTGCAGAAGTGGGATCGTAGATAAATTTAATTTGATTTTTGAAAAAGACTTTTGAACTTTTGAAAGGTATTGTTCGTCGGAACATCCGCGTAGTTCAGTAGTGATCGTTGTACGAAAGAACATTAAAAAGTACGTGTGTGCCTGACCAAAGATGCTGCTAGTACAACTCTCGGTAAAACAGTTGCTGTGAGCAATTAGAAGAACGCGATGAAGACTGCAGCGGGTCCAAGAAGATCCTCCAGGAGCGACTGAAGAATATTCTTAACAAGAATGGAGATGACCCAGAGACATTCCAGTTTCAATCATCAGAAGAAACAGTTTTAACAAAAATAAATGAGAAATTTGAAAATGTCTCGCAAATGATTGAAGAATCTTCTAAAAACACTGATGATAAATTCGAGAACGTTTCCAAAAGATTCGATGAAACGTCTCAAATTATTAAAGAAGCAGCTAGACAAAATGACGAGAAATTTGAAAATGTTGCTAGAAGATTCGACGAGACTTCTCAAATAATTAAAGAAATAGTTTTCAGAATAGTGAGAAGTTTGAAGAAGTCTCTAAAACATTTGATAAAGTTGAAGAGAAAATCAAACAGTTAGAGACCATGATAACTAACACGAGAGTGCTACCACCAATTAATACGTAGCTTTAGATCCGGTAGAGATAAAAGAAGACGAGACGAAATGTAAGTTGGAAACACGGCCGAAATTTGAAGGAAGCGGAGGTTATGATTCATGTCAAAGTCCCAACTTTCGACGGAAAATCATCATGGAACAACTACATGAAACAGTTCGAATCAGCTGCAAGAGCGAATGGATGGTCTGAAAAAGAAAAGGCTGTAAACCTAACTATCGCCCTCGAGGAGAATGCCTTAGATGTGCTCCAGACCATAGCCGTAGAGGAGACGGATGATTTCGAACAACTGAAGAAGAGGTTAAATATGCGATATGGCCACGAACACTTGGAGCATGTATATCAGTCGCAGCTCAAAAATCGAAGACAAAAGAAAGATGAGGCTCTTCAAGAATATGAAGTAGATATCGCCAGATTAGTGCGATATGCTTATCCAACAGCTCCCGAAGACATGATGGAAAAGTTGGCCGTTCAAACGTTTATTGATGGTCTTCGTGATCATGAGATGCAAAGAACACTACGATTAGCTCGTCACAAGACGCTGGTTGATGTCTTATCCGCCGCCCTCGAATACGAGTCAGCTACGCAGGCCTCTGGCGGTTACAGTAAAGTTAGGACTGTAAAAGAGGAAGAAGATGAAGATAAACTAGACCAGCTCGTTAATATGATGAAAAGCATGACATACAAGAAGACGAAGACCATAAGATGCTGGAATTGTGGCGAAATAGGACACGTACGAAGTTCATGTAAGCATCCTAGGTACGACACAAATCAAGAAACTCACCATCAGGAAAACTAGAAAGGGTCGGCCTTAGGGGGGCAGCTTCGACCCAGAACTTTTCCAAAGACCCTCTCATACTAATAGCTTCTTTGAAATGTCGTGAAGATAGTGTATATGTAGATGGAGAAATAAATGGTAAAAAAGCATACGTTGTTGGTGGATACCGGAGCGACAAGAACCATTATTCGCCCGACAGTTATAAACAGCCAAAAAAAACTGTTACCAACGAGGTTGCGACTTCGGACCGCCACAGGTGAAAATGCCAACATTCATGGAGAAATTCAGGTACAATTAGGAATTGGAGCAGAAAAGTTCGTCCATACTGCTATAGTTGCTGACATCGAAGAGGATGTTATATTAGGAATGGACGTAATGAATACGCATGGATTCCAATTGGATTTTAAGAATAAGGTAATCAAAGTTGGTAACGAGGAGGTATTTCTCCATCCACATGATGACAAACACTATGCAAGCAGCCGTTAAAGAAGATACAGTCGTGCCTGCGAGAAGTGTAAACGATAATAGTAGCGCGGCTACAGGAATTATGGACGAAGGAACACCTGTTATGATGGAGCCTTGGAATCATGACGACGAAGTTGGCCGTGGAATCATAATTGGAAAAGAATTAGTGACTTCAGGCTAAAGAAATTCCTGTGAGACTTATTAATGTCAATGACTACCCAGTGACCATCAAGAAAGAGACAAAAGTAGGAACTTGTGTACCTGTCACATCCATAATCCGTCAGACGACAACGTCTGATAATTCCAACGATAAATTTGATCAAATGGTTGCGGTTGCTGGACAGTCTCTGAATCAGATTGAGAAAAGGAAATTAAGGGAATTTCTTCGGCAGTATCGTGATATTTTCGTACCGAAAGGAGGAAAGACGGGAAGAACTACCGTTGTTAAGCATAAAATTGATACTGGTAATGCTAAGCCAATTCGTCAAACAGCTCGGCGATTACCACAGGCGAAAAAGAGAGGAAGCTGAAACGATTGTTCAGGAAATGAAGAAAGACGGGGTGATAGAACCTTCTACGAGCCCATGGGTCTCTCCGGTGGTCCTGGTTTAAGAAGAAAGACGGAACAACGAGGTTCTGTGTGGATTACCGTTTGCTGAACAACGTTACCAAGAAAGATAGTTATCCTCTGCCTCGGATCGATGACACATTAGACACATTGGCTGGAAGTAAATTATTTTCTACTTTGGACTTGAAGTCTGGATACTGGCAGGTAGAAATGGACCCGGTAGATAAAGAAAAGACAGCCTTCACCACAGGATCTGGATTATGGCAATTCAACGTTATGCCATTTGGACTTTGTAACGCTCCTGCGACATTTGAGAGGCTTATGGAAAATGTGTTGAGAGGGTTATCTTGGAAAACATGCCTAGTTTATCTAGACGACATAATCGTCTTGGGGAAGACATTTGAAGACCATCTGCAGAATTTAGAAAACGTTTTTAATCGACTTAAAGCTGCCCAATTGATGTTAAACCCCAAGAAGTGCCAGCTATTTCAAGGTAAAGTCAATTATCTGAGTCATATAGTCAGTAAAGAAGGAGTGGCCGTGGATAAGGGAAAAATCGATTCTATTAAGGAATGGCCAAAACCAACTGACAAACATCAAGTGAGAAGTTTTCTGGACTGTGTACTTACTACCGGAGGTTTATTAAGAAGTTTGCAGATATCGCTAAACCATTAACGCGACTTACAGAGGAAGCAAGAGAATACCGCTGGGATGTAGACTGCCAGAATGCCTTTGAAACCTTAAAAAAGCATTTAATCACAGCACCAATTTTAGGGTATCCACTGCCAGAAGAGAGTTCATCTTAGATACAGATG